CTTAATTACAAATAATTAATTACCAAAACAGCTTTTATCATAAGTTTATATAAACTGCTGACCTCAAACTTTTCAACTGTTGGAGGATATTTTCAATGAATCAAAATTCCTCCCACTAGTGGTTCAAATCAATGAACCACAATCAGAGAAATGTCATCCAAATGGACAATGTTTGGAGTTGGCAATCCAGTAAGTCACAAAAAAAAAAAAAAAAAAAAAAAAAAAACACCACAGAAACACCCAAAAATTGCTCAGCAGAACGAATATCAGAAAGATACTGGGCAAAACTAGTATCCAAGGCAGAGTAGCAAGGTGGAAACACCAAGAAGAACAAAAAAGCTTGTTTGAAGAACTTGGATGATCCTCAAGAATTCTGGATGAAGTTTTTATAAAGAGATTAATCAAAAGTAGAATGTGGGCTTGTTATGTCTGGCGAAGAACACTGCAGTTCATAAGAAGAAACATTTTCCTTAATTCCACATTTCTACAATCGAAAAAGCCAAAAGAGAACAAGGACGCAACCATATATTTTTTTCAGTGTAATCATGATCTTGCATACTTAAGACAGACAGTATGTAGATTGAGATTCAAGTCCATCTGTGCAAAGCAGAGGAAGAGACATTTAAACAGAAATTCGATGGCCATACAATATGTATGTCACATATCGGCATATCTTGGTCAAACAACTACAGTAAACTCTTGCATGTCATTATGGCACATCTAACATCTGACACAGACACTTTCAGAAAACCGTTGTGATGAGCTACAAAGGCCTTGTCAATCAGAAATCACACCAAAGATCCAACGCTGCAGCAGCTGCGCGGAGAAAGAGACAAGCGGAGGAGGGGTGGAAAACAGCCTTGGGAACATACTGTCCGCCCATCCAGAGTGACTGAATCCATAACGTGTTGACAGGGTGTATTGCCGCCTACCCCGGCTGAGCTCAGTACGTCTGCCTTGTGTTGTCAGGGCAAGGGAGAGGAGAGCGGATCAGCGTGGGACGAGTGTGCCTGCCAGCAGCGCTTTGCCCTGAATCAGTCACTCAGCACTATCTGTCTAAGATGGACATTATCTTCAAGCTGCAGAGTAAAGGGTCAGTGTGACCCCGTGATGAGCTTGGCCTGTGCCATTTTGGGTGGTTCAGTTCAATTGAGCTTGGGTATATTCAACTAAAGCAATCTAAATTCAATACTTTTTTTCCTGGTGCAAACTTTTTGTACAAAAATTTTAGCTCGCCCTTCCAACACTTTGACTGGTATACTAGTTTAGGGTTGATAATAAGCCTCTTATGCCCAATAAAAAACACAGTAAAAACAGTAATATTGTGAAATAATATTAAAATTTAAAATAACAAAGCTGAATTTACAGCATCATTACTCCAGCCTTAAGGGTCGCTTGATTCTTCAGAAATCATGCTAATGTTGATTTGTTGCTCAAGAAACATTTCTTTTTATTAATATCAATGTTGAAAACAGTTATGCTGCTGAATATTTTCGTGGAAATAGTAATAAAAAAAATTCAGGAATAAACAGTTTAAAAGAACAGCATTTATTTGAAATGGAAATGTTTTGTAACAATGTAAATGTCTTAACTGTAACATTTGACACATTTAATGTATCCTTGCTGAATAAAACTATTAATTTATTTCTTTTTTTTAAACTACTTTTGAACAGCAGTACGTCATGTTTAGTTAAGCAAAACATATTTATAATAAAACAGGTATATTTATAATATTTAAACCACTCTAATTCTTCCACAACCATCACATGTCTTCCTCACAATTTGAACAAAACCTCATGTTAGCCAGTCAAGCCTAGTTCACTTCACACTACATGATTTTAAGCCCGATTTGCACATCGTTGAGCTAGATGAACGCTCGCCAATCTGTTAGTATGAAAGAGCCACCAATGCATCAAAAACGCTCGCAGACGCCTCACCGACACGTCACCGAGCCCAGAAAACTATCTAGCATGTTAGATATCCAGAGCTGTCGCACGACTCAACCTCAGTGATGTCATGAGCAACAGCCAATCAGAGCAAGGCATGGGTTGACCTCACCGGGTATATCTTGTTTTTTCTTTATTTGCATTTTATCCCAGAGCAAATCATCATGCAATCAGTTTGCAGCACAAGTTTCTATCTGACGTCCATATTGGCATGTTGTGTTTCTGTGTCTTCTTCGCTAGGTATTGGTGCGCGTTCTGTTTCGCGTCATTTCCAGTTCATTTTATCATGTGGTTTGTAGACAAGATAGAATTGTGTAGTGCGTTATCTCCTGTTGCGGATCAATCACGTTGTGTCGTGTGGTGTGAACAGCTCAACAACTTGAACACTCCTGATTTTGTATTGTGAACCGCACAGTTCAGCCCGACATTTTAAAATCATGTAATGTAAACTAGGCTTTAGAAAATTGTACATTGGTGAGCAAAATTTGCAACAACAAATGTACAAAATGTATCACAGACCAATGTATAACAAAATCAACTAATGCAAGAGACGTATAGTGTCAATGCAAGAATGGTCCAATAAGGGTTAAAAAAATGGTTCCTTAAAGGGATAGTTCACTTTGAAATTAATTTTTGATATGTTTTAGCTTACCTCAAGGGAATCCAAGATGTAGGTGTCTTTGTTTCCACAGTATTTTCAATTTTGACATTTTTCAGTCAAACCGTTGTTGTCTATCAGTCATACACTGGAGGCTAAGGGGGTCCACCAAAAAGCATGCACAGAGAAGTCAAAATTAAACATGATTTAATGACTCGTAAATGTAAGTACACATTGATGGCCTAAGACACGAAACGAGCGTTTTTTTTGTGAGAAAACGAACAGTATTATGTAATCACAGTGACGTCCAAGTGATCCTAATCAGTTGTTCAATGTCCAACTGAACCGAACTGAATCAGTTCAATGTTATGCCAGAAGTGATCGCTTGCGTGTGACGTCACTCAATATTTACACGGAGATTTCGGAAGTTTTACCTTTTAGTAAACATATTTAGATATACCGAAATCGTCTTCCATTGCGGTTTTCCCGTATATCTAAATATGTTTAGTGAAAGGTAAAACTTCGTATAAACAAAGAGTGACGTAGGCGCGCAAGCGATCACTTCCGGCGGATGTGCAGACCAAAGCGCCCGTGCCGTCAGATCATTTTGTCATGGCTATGATTACAAGAGGTAAAATCAATATAAATACTGTTCGTTTTCTCACACAAACTGCTCGTTTCGTGTCTTAGGCCATCAATGTGTACTTACATTTACGAGTCATTAAATCATGTTTAATTTTGACTTCTCTGTGCATGCTTTTTGGTGGACCCCCTTAGCCTCCAGTGTATGACTGATAGACAACAACGGTTTGACTGAAAAATGTCAAAATTGAAAATACTGTGGAAACAAAGACACCTACATCTTGGATGCCCTTGAGGTAAGCTAAAACATATCAAAAATTAATTTCAAAGTGAACTATCCCTTTAATATGTTCTTTGATATTCTAATCGTGATTAACTTATGAATAAAATTTATACGAAAATACTTTTGTGTAAGGCAACTACATGTCATATTCATAATGCATGCTACAAAACAAGCCAAGAACTGTGTTCCTAAATCAGTGTATTGCCATTTTACATAGTGCATTACTTCACACTGGCCCACTTAGCAGCATGAAATACAAAACCATTATTCTAAATTTATATAAATAAATGCATAAGCAAGCAATACAACAATACTTGAAGCTAATGCTGGAGGTTTACACATCTCCAGTTACAGAAGTACAACACACAGGACCTGTTAAAAGTGACAAAGATTCAACACTTTTCATGATTCGTTAATTGCGGTAACAATAATCGTATCATAATCTTGATTAAGTTTTCAAATAATTGTGCTCCCCAAGGTAAATTTAATACACATTAATTACAGTTATCAGCATGTGTCATAATAATGCTTGTGTTGAAGAAACACATTCCTAGCAATTTTAGTGCAATATTTTCTGTGATTCAGTAGCAAAATAAATAATTATAGGAAATAGACATTGAAGTAAACATTTTCAAGTGTGACCTCTTTGACCACACCAACTTCTTAAACCAGCAACATTCCTGGCACAGCATTCATTTTTAATAACCTACCAACAGCAACATTAAAACAGTCCAATTGAGCAGCAGTAAACAAGGTTCCCATACAGCCTTCTAAGCCCATTATAATTACATGTCTTATCTTTGTCCGCTCAGTCCGTCTTTTTTCCGAAGTCAACTCCGATTTAACTGGATGTGATGATGTCTAACCCTCATTAGGTGATTGTAGTCGTATAAAGCGATCATGTGTCATTATTAGACCAGCTTAGAGAAGCAGTGACAGATCACGCTGAGCATAAAGCCACACACATAAACAGACCTCCAGCCAAGCCTTAGCTTGTTTTGAAAGACTTATTGCACATCTGACATCTTTGCAGCATTGCTCTTTTTTTGGCTCGAACCAAATACCAATTTCAAAACTTGTATTTAAAGTTAAGGTTTTTAGACAAACTGACCCTGACCCTAGATGAGGGCAGAAGGACAGCTTTCCTTCAGTACATTCTCTCTCAACTTCAATAGCCCAATGATGAAAACCGACGGGCCAGTTCTCGCCTAGCAGTTGAAAATCCATGTGGGGGAGGGGTGGATACCGCAGTGAACCGAGCACGCCTTCATCCCAAAATCCGATCTGCATTACAATGAGGTTATGGTTCTTCAGAGAACACAATCATCAAACATCGCTCTCTTGGTATTCTTTTGCTTGCTTTCACACATTCCAGTAAACACACCAGTCCAAACATGACAAGAAAAGTTAAGTGGTATCAGGTTCTTGGTGGAGTAAATCATCACCTCAATGAGAACGAAAAGGTCAGGATGGCCGATGGAAGAGGGAGTAGACATGATGATGCTCGGGAAAACACAGAGCCTTTCTTACACAGCAGTCTAGCTAAAAGCTCCAGGTCCTCCAAAATCATTTAATTTAGCAAGAATTTTACCTTTTCCCTGATTCAACTCCTGAATCTTCTTCACTGCTGCCAGACCCTCCTCTTCATCGTTCCCAGCTGAAGAAAAGAAAGAAAAGACAGAAAGGAAGGTGTTAAATATACAAATTATATACAAATTAAGTTATAATTGCATCAATGACACATGAAGAATTTAAAGAAGCAAATTAGTAAAAAAAAATAAATAAATAATAATATAAAGATCACTTTATATAATGAACAGATTGAATTTAGGCTTTAATTCATATATAAACATTGATCAGTAAACATAAACAAAAGCTCAACCAAACCTGCTCGGCGCATTGGTTCCTGCTGAAGCTCAAATGTGCACAAGAATGAACCTCATTGGTTCTCGCATGTCAAGTGGGCTGGGGTGGGATGGGGTGGTGATGGCGCAGTGAATAAGACACATGCCTTTGGTGTGAGAGACTGCAATGTGTCCCTGAGCAAGACACTTGACCCCTAGTTGCTCCAGAGGCGTGCGACCTCTGACATATAGCAATTGTAAGTCGCTTTGGATAAAAGCGTCAGCTAAATGAATAAATGTAAATGAATGTGGAAGTGAATAAAAGCCTAAATTCAGTCTCATCATATAAAGCGATCATGTCTCTTCAGAAAATTTAGACTAAACTGCTCAATTCATGTAGATTATTTTTACGATCTCTTAATAAACTTTTTGAAGTATCAAAGTATCAGCTGTGTGGCAATGCATGCATTTCCTATTAAGAAATAAAAAAAAGATTTAAAAAATTATTAAAAAAATTTTTTTTGAAGAGAATGTTTCTCTATTCTATAAAAAAGTGTTTTAATTATCTATGGTGGAGGTGATCCCTCTCTAAATGTATTTTGCCACATTGAAATGAAATGATCTACACATGTCGGAAAGAATACTCATGCTCATTGGCTGCACTCTTCGTTGATACACTAGTAGCATAGTGTTGTTTCATGATGTGAAAAACATTAGACAATAACACTAAACAATAAAATTTACTTATAAACAATTGGAGGATCAGTGCCTGTATGGCCAAAGAAACAGAAAAAGTCTGAAGCCAGAAAGACAAACAAAGACAAAAAAAACAAGCGTAAACATTGGTACAGTAGCGCATACACAAAGTAAAAAGGTTTAATGACACAGAAAATCCTGAGAAGTTATTATTTTTGTTGGACATGTAAGGGAATTAATTGTGTAGAACAATATTGGCGATATGGACTTAAAACTATATGACGATATTTTTTGGAATTTATTGCAATAACAATATCAATGACAATATAAAAATATAGTAGCCTGTTTTTGGCAACAAATGATAGCTGCATGCATTCTTGAGAGGCTCAGAAACACAAACATTGATGTAAAGTAAAACATACCCATTATCAAACAGGCACCTATAATATACCAATTACATAAAATAGTAAAAATCCCAAAACCAGCCCTTGAAGAAATGAAAAAATTGCAGATACGCGTTTCTTCTGTAAAAGTGCAGATAATCTTTGAATAGTGCAACTTTACTGAAAAACATCACACAATAATAATTCAAATCAATTACATGTTTGAAATGTAAAAAACGTAATACTTAATAATACTACTACAATGTAAAAATGTAAAAAACGTAATACGTAATAATACTACTACAAATTCTACTATTTACTACATCTACTACTACTAATTATACAACTACTAATTCTACTGCTGGGTTCATGAATATTTTTCACGTCTGTGTTAGCAAATTATTTTCTACTTGCTCATAAAGGCTGAATAATTCCAAATCAACTCCATTATTTTTTACACGAAAATACAACAAATAATATCGTTTGCTAGCCTGACTTCGTCATACTCATTTTCTAATAAGAAAATGAGTCTGATACCCCTCCGTTGGGCTTTGATTATGAGGCATGTCTTAATCGAACCAGGAAAAAAAAAAACCCCTCTGCACTCAATTCGGTAGACCTACAACCAATCAGAGCAACGCAGTAAGTCAACTCCTTTGCATAGTGCAGTTTTCAAATACAGAACTTACTTATTTTAGAAGTTAAATAACGATTGTTGCTTCTTTTACTTTCTTCTCCATGAGTGTGACCAAAGGAGAAACCACAACGACCACAGGCTTTTCATTACGTCCCATCTTCTTAACGACCGTCAGAGCCAGCTGATAAGTTACACTTTTCCCGAATCATGTAGAAAGGACGCCAAAAATATCTTTCCAATCAACAAATGCCTTGATTGCAGTTCTCTGTTTGTCTATTAAAATGAATGCACTGTCGATTTATTTTACAACAGACACGACAGCGGAATCTATACATCTCAATTCTCCAGCTGCAGTCATCTCTGAAGGAAATCAGTTAAGCGCTCTTTGATAATGTGATGATTACGTCCCTGCAGATCATCTGTCCATCATCGTATAAAGCCCGCCCTGGCAATTTAATTGGCCCGTTCATTTCTTGCCTGATCATAATTACTCCTCAATGGATCGAGTCCAGACCGAACTTCCCGACCAAAAAATGTTGTGGGCGGGGTTCGGGCTGGCATCCAGGCTAGCTACAACTATGGAGCTCAGTGATTTTGCATAAAATGTTTTACCATGAGCTTTTACCAATATTACCAAACAGTCTTGGCATATACAGTCAAGTCCTGTTCCTGCATCTGCAGTACCCTGTCCTGCATTTGCATGAAGATGTGAGGAGTTACTCTTGCCTAAAGGTGCCTTGTGTAATGTCCACCAAAAAAACTATTCATACTCCACATTCCATACCAGATGGGGGCAGTATACCTTCAGAAAGTGAGTTGGTCTACTCCAGAGTAACAAACAAGAAACGGCATAGTCACTATGCTCCGCCCCAACCTTCGACCTTAGCCGAAGCCAAGCCAACTCCTAAAGGACATTTGGACTCCAGAGGAACGTCGGTTGATGTCAAGTGATTTTTTTTAAAATATAACATATTCAAACTACTCCCCTTCACCTTTACCAGTGCATATGTTCATATTCGTTTTGTTCCTATTGCATTTTTACTGTTAGTTTGAATTACATTAATTTGACACACAGCATTCACTGATGTTGACCAAGCTAGATGCAATTCAGAGCTGCCAACTCTCACAAATGCACCGCGAGACACGCAATTGACACTTTTCACACGCTCTCACGCCACACATCATGCTCAGAAAAATCGCCAAGCAAAGAGGACACGGAGACCGACAGACTAGACAGAGCAGGTTAGTTATAATATTTTTAAAAAAATCTCAGCTCTCAGATTCTCAGATTTTATTACGCAATTCAAACAATAAATACCATTTTGGCGCTTGTAAATGTTACACCACAGATCCCTAGCGCACGTGAACTAGGCTTGGGCGGTATCCAAATTTTGATACCGTCAAACCTCCTCCCTATTTTACCGCGGTATACGGTATTACCGCGTGACTAATTAAAAATTACGAGATAAGGCTCAGACGGCATCACACATGGTGACACGTTCAACAAGAGAGTGTCGATTCCAATAAAGCATCTAAAAGCTGTCAATCAACTATTAGAAAACAGGAGATTCACATTGTCTCACACACGTGCCACGTGCCACGAGGTCTGTCCACTCGGCGCCACGAGCCCTGAATGCCCGCAGTGACATGCTGGTTAGAAAATTTGAAAACAAACATTTAAATTGTTTATTAATAAACTAGTGTTTTCTATGTCAGTTTCTGCAAAGATAAAGATTGTATTGACGATGCAAACTCGCATCTTCGCGGTAGTGAACGCGAATAAAGAGTAATGCGCACACTTCATATGAATTAACCTAAAGCAGAGAGCAGCCCATTTCTTTTAGCTTGTAATTGTTTTGTTTAAAAGTAGACATTTCAACCTTACTATATATATTCACTTCTCAGATCTTTAAGACATGTATCTCATATGCCGAGTTTCAGTTCATGTATGAGTCGCGCTCCTGATTGTAGGCTATTGAGAATGAGGAGTTGACGTCATTTTACAGAGCCCCTCCCTTCTCCGCCATGTTGGTAGGATTCCCACGGCAAAACAGTATTGTTTACGTGTGTTTTTAGCCCGGCAGTAAAGGAGTTTCTCGCAATACCGCACTTTTTTATTATGCCTGGAAGTAACTGCTGCGTTAAGAACTCCTCCAGTAACTCACACGATACATTTGGAAAACATACAGTAGGAACAATGGAATACAGTTTTTGGGGTTACCGAAAAAGACACAGCAGGGAGAGTCTGACCTGACGAGGAGATGCGGATTGCTGGGTTTGCTGATGCCTTTAGTATACGATTTTCACTGTTTGCTGTGCCTTAACGAACATATGCAAAAGTGTTGTTTGAGTGCCTTGTTCATTACTTTTTTATTTCATTGAAATAAATGTTTGAAACAACTTGATATAGCCTAACAATATTTATTGAGAACTGAAATATATAGGCTATTTGGACAACATACGTTTCATGGACAACATAAATAATAATAAAATAATAATACTGTTATTAGTGCAAAAGAACAAATATATTGATGGTGCTTCTCCAAATACAGCTGTTTTGCACTTTGTGTGAGTTTGTTCCAGTAAGGTCCCTTTTCTTTCACCTTATCTTTTAGCATTGCTTTACTTTCTTCCTTTTTTTCTCGTATTCTTAAATCTGTCTCTGTCCTGCCAAAATAATAAATGCACGAAAATTAAAGAGCTCTGGAACGTTTAGTCGCGTCTATGGGTTCTAAAGGCGTTGCCCCTGGTAACCGATAGCGTCTCCTACCATCATGGCCGACCGGCTCAGACCCCGCCCAAATCGGCACGTGACTCCTCATTCTCAATACTATATTTGCTTTTTATTTATTAATCCAGGAAATTCGTTGATGAAAAAAAATTAAAATGAATATGCAATTTTTTCAAAACGAAATTCGTTTTAAAGAAAGGCTTTCTACAAAACAAAACGTAGTAAGTGGTCATAATCATGTCTGACTGACCCATTCCAAATCCGATATTGGGCATTTTATGATCTTATCTTATTCATCTCATGAAGTTCCCTTTTCATAAAACATCATATTATCAAACATAAACATGAAAGGAATACGTTTTTTTT